AAGAGACAGCAGACGCGGCGAAAGGTAAAGTTCATAACAAAGGCTTCATGAAGTCTGTAACGAACTCGTGAATCAGATAAGGGACGAGAAATGCAAGAGAGAACAAAAAGCACATCCAATGAAGCCAAGCAAAAAGGTCGAGAAACTTTGGATGAGGTTCAACACAAAGGACGGCAGTTTGCTGATCAAGCAAGAGATAAAGCTTACGAAGAGAAAGGCTTCATCCAGTCCATGGCACAATCAGTAGCAGCATTCGTGACGGGAGAGTCCGACCAAGGACGAGAACTCAGAGATAAAGGTCATGAGGCTGCAGATCAAACAAAAGAGAGGTCCAGAGAAACAAGCGACAGCACGAGAGGTAAACTTTATAACTAAACGTTGTAACAGGCTCGAAAGTTTGCAGGTGGAGTAAAAGGTGTCGTCGAGGCTAAGACGAAAGGCCAAGACGCTGGTGACAGGTCCGAGGGGAGGTGGCACGAGACGAAAAAGACCAGTCAAGAGACCGCTGATAGAGCCAAGCATGAAGCACAAGCCCGGGCGGAGCAAGGAAAAGGCTTCGTACAAGAAAAGATATCACAGGCCAAAGCCAAGTCTGAAGAAGCACTGGACGATCTCAAAACGAGGATAAACATTAGCAGCGATGAGGCATCTGATCGAATCAGAAAGGTAGGAAAAGGCGTTTATGACACGGCAGATGACGCCGCTGAGGAGGTCAAGGACATGGGACTGTTGCAAGCTGTGAAAGATTGGGTAAAACAGTTTACAGTTTGATCGAATCACTCTCTAATAACCTTACAGACTGCAGAAAGAGCTCAAAGCGACCAAGAGCTACGAGAGCGAGGGAAGCTAAAGGCAGAAGACATGTTTGGCAAGTCAAGAGAAAAAAGCAGCGAGATAAGTGAGGAAACCAGACGCAAAGACGAAGAAATTCGGGAGCGGGGAAAACTGAAAGCAGAGGGCATGCTCGGCAAAGCGAGAGAGAATACATACGAAAAGAGTGAAAACACCAGACGCGCGGACGAGGAGCTGCGTGAGAAGGGAAAGCTCAAAGCCGAAGACATATTTGGCAAGGCAAAAGAAACAGTTCAAGTCTCCAAGGAAAAGCTTGAGGAAACAAGAGAGAAAGGAAAGCTCAAAGCCGAGGACATGCTGGGAAGTACACACGACAGGGCGCACCAGCACAGACAAGTAGCTGATGATGCTCGTCACAGAGCAACAGAAACAGCCAACGAATCTAAAGAGAAAGCCGAAGACCAGCGGGGACTTCTACAGTCTGGGCTCGCGAAAATAGAACAAGCAGCGTACAACGCAGGACAGATGCTAAGGCAGCAAAAGGATGAGGCTTCTCAAGGCACAGCGGATGCATGGAACGCAACAAAGCAGTACATCAACGACACTCGAGAGAACGTCCAGGCGACTGTTCACGACAGGCAGGAGCGGAGTAAGAGCTTCATTCAGTCAGCTAAGGACGCGGTTCTTTCGAAGCTTGAAAACGCAGCTGGGAGTGGAGAAGATATGATGCATCGAACAAAGGAACAAGCAGCCAGCCGGAGGAGTGATAAGAACAAGCCCGAAGAACGATGACATACCTGAGTTCGCAATAGCTCCTCCCATCATCATCGAGACCAAGTTGCGTTTAGCAATGCTCCGGCGTCCTTCGGCCTGTATAGACACTTTTGAGAAGTAAAAAACATACATTCTTTACCTGACAAACAACCGTCGAAACCGTCGGCCGAACAGCCGGCGATTTCACCTTTCGCGGTTAAGTTTCAAATTCGAAGCACAGAGACGGCACGGACCATGGAAGAACGAGACTGGCAGGAAGAGCTTCATCTTCGAAGAGAAGCAATGGCTCTTTGGGCTGCCATGGTTGCCGAAAGGAACCTCCCATCCCAGTTCTTGGACGTAGCATCCGCACACGCAATGTGAGTTACCTTGGCTAGCTCGGGCTCTGAAAACTCACTGCTGTCCAACCAGAGAAGAAGCCTTGAAAGGACTAACACACGTTCGTCTTGACCGTGAGCACATCCTGTTACTAGAGCCTGCCTTCTTCCTGTGCCTACGAAATCTAACCAGCCTATATCTCCAAGAGGTAGTAGTCCACTATCTGTCCATCCTTCTGAAATAACCTGACCTGTTTTACTGAAGAACGAGCTCACAACCTTGAATGGCATAGAAGCCGCCAAGCACCTGCAATTCCTCACCGTTTCTGGGAACCACCTTACCAGTTTGCAAGGTCTGCAATCACTGCCAAAGCTCGCTTTCCTTGACGCCTCCAACAATTCTATCAGCCACGTTGATCCAGGTGAGCGGGCTTTCTACTCCGAAACCTTTTGTTCATGTGCTTCTTCAGATCTGGAACTCCCCAAGTCGTTGATGTTCTTGAACATATCGCAAAATCAATGCTGCAAGCTTCAAAGTCACCTCGAAGAGAAACTGAAAACTGCCTTGCCAAAGTTGAAAGAGCTCCGCATGCGTAGTGCCGATGCTGACACAAAACGAGCAAGGTAGTAAGCATAGATCATTGTGTGTACGAAGTTAAAAGACCAAATCACAGACCTCCAACCTGACGAAAGTTGATGGCTTCAGCACAAGCGGTCTAGAAGAGTCTCTCGAGCAAAATCCTGATTCATACGGCGACGTCTTTCTAACCACTTTGGAACGCTCGCTGGAAAGTTTGTCCTCAGCAAGAGGTCCAAACAGCGCAAAGGATCTCAAAGAAGCTCAGCACAATACCCGAATAGAAGACGTGATTGGCATGCCGGCTCAACAGGCTCTTGATAATGCTGGTTGGTTCATCAGTGTATAAGAATCCTGTAATAGCTGTATAACCTGGTATCTGCAGCTCTGGTATTAGCACCGATTCTCGAAAATTCTCGAGAGCAAGTGCAGCAAAACTTTGACAAAATTAAAAGACGATCCTCACTTCGAACCTCAGAGGTAAAATCGGCGATTTGAGAGACGTTTCCCATAGTTGATCCGTATTGAGCAGGCCGAGCTTGAACACGTGAAGATTCGAAGACCCGTAATTATAAAGCCTGAACTGAGGCAGCCGCCTGATTTCTAAACCAGTTCCAGACTTTCCGTGTCGTCATTCTCTGCGGTTGAACGAAGCAGCTCTAGCACTTTGTCAAAATCCCTGGCACTTTCATCCCTCTGGTCAAGTTCTGCACCTTCAGCCTCTAGCCACCTTTCACGTAAATCGTCCAGTAAGTTCCCTTGACTGTCGTCTTTAACACCCCCCGGAGCGTTTGGTATCGTGGTTCTCGTTGATGTATCTCCTGATGGCGGTGGAAGCCTTTGTAACAAAGCCTTAAACTCCGATGTAGCCGCAAAGCTTTCAAAATTCACGGCGATGGTATCAAGGCAAAATTCCCTGATTCTCGTGACCCCGTACCTGTCAAAACAAGCTTGTTAGGCACCGGCTCAAAGCGAGAAAGATCAACGTACATGTCTGCGACAAGGAGCCATTTACATAACTCCGCTGGCGACGCATTCTCCAAATGTGGATATACAGCGTCCGCCACCGCGCGCCTGAGAGGAAACAAAAGATATCTTGAAGCAACATCGAGAAGTTCTTCAGCCTGTAGCGCTCAAGTGAACCTCAAAAACAAAAGCACCATTTAAGGTTCTTACCTGTTCAAGTTCAAATTCCTCCAAGACATCTGTGTAGCTGAAACCAAAGAAGAAAACAATGAGAAAAGCAAGATATAAGAGAAAAACTTACATGTATCGGAGCACCTTGCCAAACACGTCGGCACTCAAATCCCGTTCTTCCAGAATCTCCAAGCCATCAGCCTCCGGGACACACACAGCTCCACTGAATTCTCCCATCCTGAGAATTCGTGTCCGCAGGTAATCGGACCGCGCTGCTACAATCGCGCGATGGCATCTGAAACTGGTGTCCTCCACCAGAAAGCATATATCTGCAAAGTCCTGGCCTCCATCAACCTTCTCTTCCCCGAAACTTTTATGTTTCAAGAGGCTGAAGAGGCGATCCATCGCCCAAGTCAGTCTCTCCTCGTCGGGCAGCGACGAGCCTTGCATGATAAACCTCTTGAGCGAGTCATCGTCGGTGTTGAGTGACTTGTAGTCGGCAAACTTTTGATGAACGAGCTCCTTCTCGAGGACCCTCTGGAGCCCCGAGCATCCACACACCTTGCAAATCCTGAGCAAGTCCTCCATGTCGTCCACGGCCACGTCCAAGACATCGCAGTAGAAGAAGCTGATGAGCCGAAAGAGCGCGTGGAACGAGAGCCTGTTCCTGGAGAACCGGATCTCGCTGCGTGACTTCCACTCTTTCTCAAACTTTCGCTGGAAGAACCGGCAGCGCGCCGAGAGGATGGCGCGATGAGCAGCGATCGGCTGCCCTTGGGCGTAGAACACAATGTCCGGCCCGACTGGATCGCCCAGCTCGTCAGCATCGAAATTCCCAGTGTCGCCCAGCGTCGGATCGAGAAACCTGTGATTCTGGCCGGACCGGAAGAAGAGGGCCCTGAGAGAATCCGGCAGTGGCGCCAGCGGTGGCGGCCGGGCCTCGAACAGCTTGAGCAATCGCCTCACCCTGAGATTCAGCGCCGCGTAGTGGCACCGATCGCCATCAAACGTGTGCTCGCTGCAAATCGCGCCTCCCTCTAGCAAGATCCTGGCCGCGTCCTCGTGCCCGGCCAGGCACGCGTAATACAGCGCCACCGAGTCCCATTCGTCCCGAGCATTCACGTTGATGCCCGATTCGAGCAGGATTTTGAGGCGATCGATGTCGCCCGCCCTCGCGGCCTCATAGACATCGCCGCACGGTACCTTCTTCTTGCGCCGGATGTAGCTGTCGAGCTCGTCGTAGCCCTCGTCGGCGTGTTGCTTGTCAAGATCGTCCTCCGCCGCGGCGACCATAGCCGGGAAGAACAATTAGGGCAGATGAAAGTCCTAGTCAGCATTTGAAAGAATGTAGGGCTGCGTCAGCATAAAGGGATCCTAGTCAGCTAGCAAAAAATCTAGGGCTGAGTCAGCGTAAAATGGGGATATTCACGTTTAGGGGTATCTCAGTGTTTTAGCTATGGCGGCAATTTCGTCAGCTGTGACGCTGGGGATCCTTCTCCGGCATTCGATTCATGGGGCTAGGTGTGGCGCCCAGGCTCTTGCTCCAATGGCGGGATCCGGCGCCATCGCTTTGGGAAGAAATCGATTTCCATTGCAAAGAACACTCCAAAGAACACGAAGGAGGGGTTCACTGATCGCAAAATGCGAGTCTGGAGCGACGGAAGACAAGGTCTGTGTGATTCTTTATCGAATCGTAGAAGGATTTTGTGAGATTTCGGAGCTCGATCATGGTTTCTAACAAATATTTTGTTCTTCCGCTTCCAGCCCGCGTTTGGCTACACGAGGAAAGACGTTCTCCTTATTGGAATTGGAATCACAATCTTTGGATTTGGTTTAAAGTCTGGACTAGAGGTATGTGTCTAGCGATCGTTCACAGGTTTGTCTTGAAACCTCTTTCGGTCGCAGTTAATTGGACTGGATTCCCTCAAGGCTGGCAACGTTGTGCAGCTAGTCATGGTTCTTGGGCTCACAGTGGGATGGATCCTATCCTATGTTCTCCGGGTCTCCAACAAAGACATGACTTACGCCAAGCAGCTCAAAGACTACGAGCTCAAAGTGATGGAGGTACCTTTCCTTTTTTTTTATTTGCTTCCATTTACGATTTCTCTAACGGAACAAGCGTTCTTTCTCTCGTTTCCATTGTTTAAATGTGGCAGAAGCGCTACCAAGAGCTGCCCGAGGCCGAGCTGGAAGCTCTTCTCGCACAGGTCGAGGAAGAGAAGAAGAGCTCAAGGAGCAACGAAAACACCACGACATAGTTACTTGGTTTTGGTTTTCTCTTCCTTGACCTCGATGTAGCTCAATGGTACGCATTTTCCGTATACATATGCTGATGCTGCCGTCTTTCTCCAGATGATTTTACTGTACAAATACAGATCGATCCAGTTTCTTCGCTCGGACTTATGCATCTTTTGCATCCGATGGTCAAACGATCTGCCGGTTCCAGCACCAGTCTTTGCGTTTTGCCAGAAAACTTGGGGGCTCCTATTAGGTGATTTCACAACGTTGGTCTGGGCCGGACTATCACCGCATTAGTATGGGGCTCATTAGAAGACGGGCATAGCCTTTCTGTGAGGCCATTTTTCTATTCGCGTGCGCCGTCTGCATGGACGGTGTTGGCAACCAGCTTAAAAGTTTGGGACTATGGGAAGCAGGCTATAACTCAGTTACTCTTTGACTTTACAACTAAATTCGGTTCCATCGGCCAGGAGATACGTCGAAAAGGTCCACACAGCCGCTCGAATGCTGACAGGTCTCCACAGAATGATGGTGGTGGTGCTGGCGGTGGGTTTGGTGCTACAGATTTTTTTTTCCGGCTGTCGAGGTCAGGCCGCTAGCTCCTTCGCAATCACCGGTGACGGCCTCAAGAACATCTCCATGGCCTGCAGTGCTACCAGGTTCGACAAGCTCTGCAAGCACTACTTTCTTTTGTTACCCGATGTGGTGGTGGCGGCCCGGGAGCCGGCCGAGTTCGTCAAGTATTCGATAACGCTGGCGTCTCAGCAAGTGAACTCGAGCCTTTTGGACGTGGACGGTATGGGCTACAGCACCTCTCGCAAGCAGCTGATACTGGAAGACATCCGAGAGCTCCTGGGAAGCTCCATGAACGTTTTGATGCTTTCGCTCGGAAGGGAACTTCGAGGCAACAACAGCTTCGCCGACGTCCGGCATTGGCTCAGTGCTGCGCTCACGTACAACAACGACTGCTACGACTATCTGTCCAGGTTTAGCGACACCGTTTCCAGCCGCATCCGGTACTTGAGCATTCCACTCATCACCAACGCACTCTGGGCACTCGACGCCTTCGAGACCAACAGGGACGATTTCTCGGCCTGGAGGCGTACTCCAGTGGTAGCCAGGAGCCTGAAAGAAATGGAGAGAGAGAGGCGCGATGGAAACAAGCTCATACAGCTCGAGGCAACGGTGGCGAAGGCCGTGGTTTCTCACGACCCCGACTATGGAAGCCACACGTCTATCCAAGCCGCAGTGGACGACGCACCCGACCACCTTAACCGCAGGTACACCATCTACATCACCGCAGGCGTCTACGACGAGATCGTCCGCATTCCCAGCACCAAAACCATGATCGCGTTCGTCGGCGACGGCATCAACAAGACCGTGATCACCGGAAACCTGAGCACCGTGATGGGCATCTCGACGTATCGAACCGCAACTGTAGGTACGCTAGAACTTTTCGCTCGAGTTCTTCGATCGTAGTTTTCATTTTCTCCACGACTAACGAGCGTTTTTTTACAGCCGTGAGTGGCAATGGCTTCCTGATGCGCGATATCACCGTCGTCAACACCGCCGGGCCAGGCGGCCAGGCAGTGGCGATGCGAGTGGACAGCGACATGGCCGCCATCCATCGCTGCTCCTTCTGGGGGTTCCAGGACACGCTCTACACGCACGCGTACCGCCAGTTCTACAGGGACTGCTCCATCTACGGCACCATCGACTTCATCTTCGGCAACGCCGCCAGCGTCTTCCAGAACTGCAACATCCAGATCCGCCCCGGCGCCGCCAACCACACCATGAGCACCATCACCGCGCACGGCCGCACGGACCCGGCACAGGACACGGCCTTTGTGTGCCAGAGCTGCTGGATCTCGGGCACCCCGGAGTACCTCGAGGCCCGCCTGGCGGAGCCCGGCAAGCACCAGGGATTCCTGGGCCGCCCCTGGAAGCCTTACGCTCGCGCCATCTTCATCGAGTCCTACCTGGACGTGGTGATCGATCCCAGCGGCTGGCTGCCGTGGAACGGGACGCTGGGGCTGGACACGGTGGTGCTGGCCGAGTTCCACAACTATGGCCCCGGCGCCAGCCCGATTGGGAGAGTCGGCTGGTCCAAGCAGCTCAACACCATAGCTGCGCTCGAGTATAGCGTGAGGGGCTTGATCCAGGGCGGCTATTGGCTCCCTTTCACCGGGGTTCCCTACAGACTAGTCTTCTAAACTGTTAATCCCGCGGGAAAACAAAGCTGAGAATATTCGAATTTCAAATAATATGCGTTGTT